ACACCTCTGCCGCCCTCCTGAGCGGCAGAGCTCACTGTGGAGTGGAGGTGCTGACCACTGTGCTCATCCTGAAGCTTAAAATAATCCCCGAGGTGGAAGGGAAAAGTCTGTGGGTTGGGGTTTTTGTTAAAGAGTTTTGGTTTTGCTTTTCAAGTTGGGTTGCTGATTGAGGGAAATATTTTCCACTTGAAAAAGTGTTCCTCCTTTAACATTGTTTTCTTTTCCAAAAGAGCCTTTCACATAGGGGAAATATGAGAAAGTTTAAACCAGCTTCTTTCTCTATTGCAGGAATTGGTGACTGCTCTGTAGCATGTCAACATACCTTCTGTACTTGACCGTACTATACATCAAGTATTAGTTGGGAAGTTGTTGCATTATGCACTATTATCAACAAACTTCCGCTTTCTCTATATTGGCGAAACATTAATGGCCAGCACAGTGTGGTGTTCGTGTTTGTAGCGGGATGCATTCACGTATTTTTCTTGTGCAGCCATCCCTCCTCAACACCCTGGTCTTTTGTGGTAGAAGATGAGACAGATCGTGCTCCAGTTCCCATCCTTTTGGGGCTGGGGAAAGGCTTGCAGAGCTTGAATTGGGTTCAGAGATAAGAAACTACAGGTGTGGAACCAAAAAAAAAAAAAATCCTTTAAGCCAGGTGATTAAGGTCCCCCTCAAAAAAGCAACTAGAGAAAATCTGGCCAAAAATGAAAATGCTGATAAAGTAAATGAAATTTGTGAGAGGCAAGCACCGATGGAAGGGGGAGGGGGCAAGGCAGATGTCTCCCCATCCTGAGAAGCAAGGCCCGGTCTGCGTGTGTGTTTCTGCTGGCTGCCTGCCTGTCTGAAAACCTGGCCCTGTCTGGCACTTCTCTTTTTATTCTCGTGTTTGAATTTATAACTTGAAGTGCAGCAGGATGAGGTTTTCCTAGAATATTACTATTGATGAGATCGTCTGCCCTAGAGGGCGAGTGTTGATTTGGAGGTGGGGGGGGGAGACTTGGTTTTGGCTTGCATGTCTATTGTGGGCTTGTTGTATTACCCTTCTTATTGCGCTTTGTTCCCCAGTGTTTCTGCTTTATTACTGCATTTCTGTGTATTAGTTTTCTTTGAGTTTGACGCTTGTGGGTCAGGGGAGGTTTTTCCCTAGGTGCATCCTGAGGGCATCTCATTGGGATTTTCTGAGTAGTCTGGGGGTAGAGAGGAAAAGGGGCTGCTGTGTCCTGCTGAGGCACGGAGCGTAGCTAGAAGCCATGAAAACCACAGCAGCCACCTGCCCCGTTGGGACGACACGGATCACCCACACTTTTCAGGGAACGTACCAGGTGACTTGTGCTTGCAGAAGCTTCCCAGGTCTCCGGTCTTCAAACGTTCATGCAGTTTGAATAATGCAAGAAGCTCCAGCACTAGCTAGAGTCAACATTCTTCTGTAGGGTCTTAGATCTTTAAAAAATGGATGGATACATTTTTACTTGAAAACCTTCCCCTTGCTCTTTGTGCAACCTGGTTCCCCTTTCTAACCTGTCACACTATCTGCAAACTTGCATCGTTTGAAATGTGCAATTGCCACTAGGGCTAACTGCACTTTTTTTACGAGGATCTCCTCCTTTCCTGTTGCCTTTGATATTTAGAAGGGTAACTTCTTTGTCCAGAAAGGCGACCACGTTATTGACTGTATCTGTCTGAAATTAGTAAATTCAGTCAAGCTATGACAGGATGATGTGCTGTTGGGGAAATTCTCTCCTCCTTGTCCCCTGTTAATCAGAGTGGTGAAGTTTTTTCTGTGATGCTGGGGAGGCATCGGGTGGCATAATAGGGAACGTGTTGGGTCCCCTACCAGGGGAGCGTTTGTGTATGTGGGGCTGTGGCAGGTTGGGAAGGTTCCTTGGTGAAAGCAGGAGGCTTTTCCCCTGCCCTGGGACCTGCAGGCAGCTCAGCTGGGGCTGCAGGATGGCCGGGAACGGGGCTGTGGTGCTGTGTAAATGGCTGAGAGAAATGCCGGGGGGGTTACACGGCGAAGCAGGAGTTTCTTGTGTGAATCTGGGGCTCGACGGGCTTCTCCCAAGTCGAGGAGAACTCTTGTAGTGCAATGACCTCCCTGAACTGGGAGCTGAAGCTGCAGTGGTGCTGGCAGAGGCCTGACAACTTCAAGCACTTGCAGGGAGAGAGATACACAGTGGGAGATAAGGCAAGACAGGTTGGATGCCAGCTCCGTGAAGAGTCTGGGGGAGGCCTGTGCTGGGCAGAGAGATCTTTCCAGGCAGGTGATAAGGCAGATACTGTCTTGACTGCCGATTTGAGCCATAAAGCGCAGACATAATGTCTGAAGTCAAGGGTGTCTCTGGAGGCTGATGATTTTTTTTTTGGCCTGCTGGGGCACAGAGGGTTCAGGGGCTCTGAACTCTAAGGACCAAGATGCTTCTGACAGGGTTGAGGCAATTCTAATGTCGCTGTGCCAAGTCTCGCCCTTCTTGCTACAGGACAGCCCGTTCTTTATTTATCGGATGCTTTTTTTCAGGATGCATCTTCACTTTGTGCTCTGCAGCATTAAAGACTGGGGAGATGGAGCTTTAGGGACAGGCCCATGCCCTCTCCCTTGTTCCCACAGGAGATGTGGGAAGGAGGAGTGAGAGGGGGGAGCAGGGAACTTGCTCCTGCTATCCCCGGAAGGATGAGAGGGGGCAGAGGGACCTGCTTTTTCCCATCCGTTTTGGTGGTTGTGGCTGGTCTGATGCTTTGCCATCCGTGACAGCCGGTTGTTTGAGGTGATGGCAGGCTGTTCTTGCACCGAGCGTGGCTTTTGCACCAGGAATGTTAATCTGGAGGATTCCTGTGACGTCCCCCCCTCCCCCCTCCCCTGCAGTGTCCCTCCCTTATTGTCATGCCACCCTGCCAAGCTTCTGTCAAGTCCAGCTCACAGGGGGGGGGGGCACCGGGAGCCTCCCAGTTTGGAGGGCTCCCTGCCTGCTGGTCCCTTCACGGGGCAGAAGGATATCGCCTGTCCTGCTGCCCTGCTTGGGCGCGGGGGGAAGGAGTCTGCCTGGAGCAGCTGCTCAGCCCCCGGGTAACGCGACGGCGAGAAGCCAAATCCGGGCTCGTGCCCAGTCCTGTGCTGGGAAGTGAGGGTCAACAAGCCACTGCGTGCGTGGCTTGAGAGACTTGTGCTTTGCATAAGCTTTGCTCTGACAGCTGCTGGACTCGGTGCTTGTGGCTGGGGGGGGGGGGTCTGGTAATTAATCTTAGCAGGGCGTCCTTCCCGGCTGGAGGAAGACAAGGGAGGGCCTGAGCAGCATTGCATCTTTGCTAGTGTCGGAGCAAACGCGTTGTAGCGTTCCTCTGGGGATGGAGGCCTTGAGCAGCCGATGGCTGCCTTGAAAAATCTGCCTGGGTCTACAGTTTGCTTTTCAGTTTGGATGCTTCAGCAGCAGGGATCTGCACGACACGGGCTGGCAGGGGCACAAGCAGAGCTCCCGAGGAGAGGGCGTGCACGCGGCGGGAGCACTGAGTAGTCAGTGCATATTTTTTTAAAATGAATAAAAATTAAAAAACCACCCCTAGATAGCAGGAGTTGGAAACCTGAACAGAAACTACTAGAATGGAACGGAATCCTTTTAAACGGTCTAGGAAGTTGGCTTCTAGAGGCAAATGTGGTTTAACAGCGCTACCTGGTGGAAGCACTTCAAGAAAATCAACTTAATGTCGAGGGGTTTGCCAGTCCTTAGACACACTCTGGAGTTTAAATCTGTTCTTCTCACTTCTCCCCAATTTGCTCTGTATGTAAACCTCAGCTGTGAGGGTGCTACTTGGGACAGAAAACTTGAGTGTTTTCATCTTTTTTTTTTTTTTTTTTTTTTTTTTTTTCCTTAAAGCAGTGGGAGGAGGAATAAGGATGTGAAATTGAGAAATGCTGTCAGCATCGCTTGTACGCACCGCGCCCTCTTTTGATGTGTGGTAAAACCCGGAGCTGACAACTTCTGTGCTCGCTGGGATCTCAAGTGTGTCATTCGAGGAAATGCTCGTGTTGGCTGGGAGGGCACAGCACCGCTTTTGAAGCGTTTTAGACTGAACCGAGTTGGGGGGAGGCAGTATCTCAGTTCTTGGGGATGCTCTTTGAGGCAGTGGGTCCAGATCTCTGCTACCCACCAAACCTGGGGCTTTTGGGCTAGCTCTAAGCATTGACAGTTGTCCTCTTGGCAATTAAGGTATTGTGCAGACAACCTGTTGAGCTGCCACGCTCCAGTTAAGATGTGAATTTGTCTCCTGGACTGCAGTAGAGATTTTCTGTTTGTCGAGTCACCCCAGTTGTGTCCAGCCTTTGGCCTCAAGGGCAACTTCAGTAGCAGTGGTGTTAGACACGAGGGTTTAGCTGGAGAGGCCAAACGTTGTAATAATATCTGGCCTGTGAAGCGAGGCAAAGATTTTGGCAAGCCCAAATAGCCGGCAGCCCCTCCCGCCCGAGCGGTAGCCTGGTTTCATAACCAGCAGCAGTTCTAAAGGCTGCCACATTCACTGGGTGAAAAGACGGCTAGAAGTCATCCTTAGAATGATAGAAACACATGAAATTAGCCTCCTCTAATCATCTTTTTGCTACTAATTAACTATGAATATTACAGTGGTGCCCAGAATCCCTCCTGGCCAGCTCTGTTAGGTGGCCTGTGCCATCTGTTAGTCCTAACTTCATCTGCCCTGTGCCTTCTGTGCAAGTGCCAAGCTATTTCTCCTTGTGCTGGGCGAAAAAGGAGACTGAAGAAGCCCAGGCTGGTTTATTTTTTGTTACGAAGCAGTCGTGGTCATAGGCATAACTTGAACCTGTAAGCAGTGGCACGGGCTTCAGGTGAGAAATTTTGCGATAGCCTTGACATATGAATAAAAAGTCTCCTCCTGCTTTGTCTTTAGAGACACCTCCCAGCATCCCTTCACACTGGCATTTCCCATTTTTTTTTTTTTTAAATACGCTGTTAATTAATGAGGCAGACACAAAAATACACACAAACGCAATGGAATAGTTTTTAACCTGGCTTGATTAATGCTGTCAAGTTGTACATCTGAGTGTGAGCTCAGTGGGACTGTTGCTTTTGTTTAATACCACAAGACACCTCAGTCTGGATTGTTGCATTACAGTACAAATAAAAAACAGAAACAAAACCACATCTGCATCATACAAGGTGAGAAGAATATGAGAATTCTAAATATTTACAGAGAAGGGCAAGTGGGGAAACCACAAAAAATATTTACATAAAAATACATGAGCTTGTCGGCATATACATTTTACACCAGTTCACAAAAAAAGACACTATATAAATTAAAGTGAAGGGAACTCCAAAGGTAACCCAAGACTTTCTGGGATGTTTCTCTCATGCGGCTCAGGGAAAGAAAAATCAAGTCTTCTACAGCAGGAAAATGAACTGCAAAACAACCCTTTTCTCCCCCTCCCTCCCTCCCTCCCCCCAACTGGACGAGGCAAGACTCTGCACACGAAGGTTTTATGTTGTTTGTCTGCTCGGACCAGACCATGCCTTTCAACATCGGCTATCTGCAGCACGAGGCTCCGGGAAAAAGAGTTGCACGCCTAAGCCGCCTTTAACGGAAGGAAGGAAGGAAAACAATTTCTCACCCACGTTTCCTAACACGTAACACGTCACTTCAGTCAATGCCCTGTCAACGCAGCGCTGAGCGGCAGAGCACGCATGAGGTTCTGTCCCTTTCTGGGGTTAAAGAGGAACAGTGTGTTTTCAAGTTGGTTTTGGTTTTTGTGGAGCAACTTACTACCACTGTGCAATCCTTACTGACCCCCCCCCCCCCCCCCTTCGACTGATGGGCATAAAACGAGGCTCTCTGGAAAGACATAGGCACAAAGTTGTGGGTGTGTTGTCACGTGTGCATATAGATTTCACCTGATAAGACTCTTTAAAAATCAGAAAGTAATGCTTAAGACTTCACAGGGGCTACGTCCTCATCACTCACCTAACGTCTGCACTCCCCCCCCCGGCCAAGGAAGGTCTCAAACCCGGGACAGTCGCACAGTCCACTCCAAAACTGAAGTGACAATCCGGAGTTGGAGTACGCTACTGGACCCCGACTCTCGCGTGCACTAGGGAGAAACCTGGCTGGAAACCCAGCAAGCGGCAGTTTAAGACGCAGATAGCTCGTGGCAAGTGTCAGGGAATTAGTTAAGAACACGGCTGCTTGTCACCTTGCTGGAGACACGGTCAGGCAATAAATTAATCTGAGCAGAACTGGACTTGCAGTGGAGTCTTGTTCGCGTTGCCGTCCCCTCGCTCTCTCCCATTTCTCTGCTAGGAGGCCAAGAACTGAACTTACCTCCAGATCATCCGCCTGACTGAGGCATCTGGTGTAACCTCCCCTCCTCGCTCTGGCGCACGACGCCCCTTGTAATCTCAGCCTAGGATTTTTTGGAAGGATCCAGCTGGACGGTTTGACTTTACCGTGACTCGGGTTAACGAGGATGTAGGACTCTTTCTAAGGACCATCAGATTAACCACAGTGCAAGAGCAGAACTGCATAGTTCACTATATGGCTTTGCGTGGGGTGGACGCGGGGGGGACTGCTGAAGATGGTTAAGCCGTGGGCAGTAGCAACACCAAAAGAAAGGTGCTTATCTGTATCGTTTGTCTGGGAAAAGCTGGTGCCTTAACCTTGCTTTTTTTGTTGGTTTTTTTTTTTTTTTTTGGTACTTGTGGCTCAACACGGGTGCAGAGAAGTTTAGTTTGGGTTCTCCGAGAGCTCCCAGCCCTTGACGTAGGTACACGTCGACGCGGCTGGGCTGAGGGATGGCTGGGCACTACGCTCTCTGCCGTGTGTCATTTTTTCCTTTTTTGTTTTAACAGAGACCACCTCCTCCTCAAGGGGAAGGCTGGTTGTAGCAGCCGTCTGGGTGTGCACTTCCAGCAGCTCTTTTTGAACGGGGCGGACAGCTTTTTGTTTCCCGTGGGGCAAGAGGGGGCTTAGCACCCGGCGCTTCACGGGCGGGCCATGGTACAAGAAAACAGAAGTTGTCCAGGGATGGCACTTGAGCTCTAAGGGGAGACGGTGGCTTTGAGCAGGAAAATCCCGAGGTGTTTACAATTAGCGGGAGCTGGGTTCAGCCCCCTCATGGTAGGATAGTCCTGGTTAAGGTAAGGCCAAAATTGAGGGCAGGAGGGGGGGGGAGTTAAGGCTTTCGTGGAGAGCGAGGTTTGACCTACAGCTCTCATTACCTGAATCCCAAATAGCCTGAACCGAACGCGTTGTCCCTGCTTCAGCTGGGGACCTCGGCAGGTAACTGGCAGCTGGGGGGGGGGGGTGTGGGGGGGTGTGAAACTGTGCTACAAGGGTTGAGGACTGGTCCCAGCCCGAACGCATCGAGGGCACGTACTGAAACGGGGCTGCCTGGGCGAGCGTGCGCCGAGGCATCCGGGCAGCTCAGCCTGTCCCCGGGGTCAGCCAGCAACGGAGGCAGGGTGGCCCGTGACACGGCTCCCCTAACGACCCCTCTTTATAGAATTTTTGTTTTGTTAGCTTTCCTTGAAAAAAAAAAAAAAAAAAAAATTAGTAAAAGCATTCCCTCACAAAAAACAGCCCCTCAACCTGGTAATTACTCACAAGGAGATTGTGGTAATCTGGATCACAGTGCTTCTTTTTTTCTTTTTTTTCTCCCCCCCCTTTTTTTTTTTTTTTTTCCTCTGACTGCCAGATTTATTTCTGTAACATTCAAGAACAACTCTTCTAAACAAAATGCTTAAAACAACAGCATTGCACAATAAATTATAGGACCATAAGGTAGTGTTACTGAAACAGCCCCAGACAAGGCTACAAGATTAAAAGAAGCAAACAGCTAAAGACTAATTAGCTACTAGAAGCAGGTTTTCCTTATGATTTAAAAGCCTCAAAATAGCCGTGAAACTTTTGTTCAAAAACCCTTCTAAGGTCCCTTTAACTTTCACAGCTGTGTGCTAACTGCAGGACCTCCAGGTTTTGAATAAAACATTAAGAGATTCAAAATGGGTAGAGAAGTTCTTCAACCACATGGAACGGGGACGGCCTTGGAATTTACCAGTGAACATTTTAAAAACTCCTAAATCTCAAGTATTGCTTGCAAGCCCTGCCTAATGAAAGAGGTGTGCTTTTATTTATGAGGGTGGGGTGGTAGCGAGTCCTGGGAAGTCTGAGAGGCTGCAAGTGAGATGCTGCCTGGCTTCTTTTACCATAGGGGAAGCTTTTAAACACCGAGGACAACGGTATTAGCGTGTCCTAGAGTGCACTGGCCCTTTGTCCCTACTGCTGACTGAATACTGGCAGGAGCTACACTTGCGAGACGGGAGGCGAAACTCTTTCACAGCACGTCACTACTGTGTATGTGCCACAACCTCACAGGGATTCCCCTTGCCAACGCTGAACTGAAAAGGTTACGGAAAGCCCTGTCCTGTAGACCTTCAGTTTAAGGTCAAGAGGATCGTTCCCTGATCTAAGAGCTGCAGGATCTGGCCCGAGGCAAATAGCTGGTCATGCAGATAACTGGGCACTTACACAGCCGTTCCCAGCTGGTAAGTTGGGCTCCAATTTACAAGCTGGACATAATGCCATAGAGGTTTTTTGTTTTGTTTTGTTTTGTTTTAATATATTTATAGGTTTGTTTTGTTTTTTGTTGTTGTTTTTTTTTGTGGGTTTTTTTTTTTTTTTTTTTGGTAGAGAGATGATACTGTCTGGCCAGCCACACCGTGGTATTAAATCATCTGGACTGTAGATAGCCTAGCAGTAAAGAGGAATTGGCATGAAATGGGTGCGCTGTTCCAAACGTGTGTGTGTGTATGATTTGGTGTACTTTTGTGTTGTATTTCTTTTGGTATGAGGAATGCAAACCTGCCCTACTTGGCCTCCCATAGCTGGCATCTGCTTTACAATAGAGAAATTGAAAGTAATTTGCTTTCTTGTAGTCAGAAGCAGCTCGTTAAGCAAGCAATTGAAAAAGTGCGTTGCATTGTGAACTTCCTTCAGAGCCTATTCCACAGGCTTGAAGTCAAACGGGCTCTCACTTCAAAGCAACTGCAGTGGATCCACTACACCTCAGCAATAAGTTTCAAGGGAGAGGCAGGACCTCGGCATTTATCCAGAAGAAAATACTCGGGAAGTCTTTTTCCCCCCCCTGCCCAGCTTTTAGCCCGCTCTTGCTGCGTAACCTCAGCAGGGACACAACGGTGGCTCTTCCAAGGCGTGGCGTGGAGACCTTTTCTTGGAAACTAGCGGTGGGATGGGCAACTTACTACACACGGGGAGAAGAGCTGCATGCACAGTCCGTCATGCACAGGACCACGGAGGCATGGTGAGGAAGCGGTGGTAACTGCCAACGTCGAGTCTGGGGAAGGAAAAGCTTTTCCTTCCCGGCCCCTGCCCCAACAGCATCTCCTTCAGCTCTGCCCAGCCTCTCCGGCACCATCTGTGTGCCAACAGCCTGCCCTGCCGTTCCAGTTATCTCAAAACTACATGAAAAAGCTCTATCTCTACTACATAAAAACAGTGAGTGGTGGGCTGGTAGGGGTGGGGCTGAAGGTGGGTTTGCTTTGCTCATCGGGGCAGGGGTGTGTGGGGGTGGTTTGTTTTTTTGTTTGTTGATTTTTGTTTGTTTGGGGTTTTTTTTTTTTTTTTTTTTTTTTTTTTTTTCCGTCACTGAAAAAATAAAACAGTCCGCTGTCCAGCAGAGGCTGCTTAGACTCTATCCCTCCTTCCCCCCACACCAGCTCACTCAACGTGGACCTCTGTTTCGGGCCTCTGCAAACACAGCTCCGTCGGGAGGAAGGCTCCCTGGCCGAGGGCCGTGGCGTAAGTTCTACTGTGCACGTGGGTGAAACTGGGGGGCACAAACCCCCCTCCTCCGACATAGCCCCCTCTTTGGTGCTGAGGCATGGTATGGTAATCCTCCAAATTATCATACTGGGACACCACAGTCATAGTGCTTTGGCGTTTCCCCAGGGTTTGGTAGGGGTAGAGGAGGGCAGAGTCCCTCTCCATGGTTTCGGGGTGCTGCATTCTGAGGCTGTGGCTCCGTTCGGGCTTGGGCGGGGCGGTGTGCTCCTCATCCTTGTAGCAGTCTCTGGAGTGTTTCTCCAGGGCTGGGGTGGGCCTGGCTCGAGCCCTCTCCAAATCCGGCCTGTCCTCTGCCAGCCTCACCTCCTTGTGGTTCAGTCTCAGGGTCTCCTGGTTCGCCGGGATGTACTTGCCGCCCGCGTGCTGGTAGCCGATGGGCTCGGAGGGCTCGGGGCCGCCTTTGGGCCTGTAGTCGGGATAAGGGGGCCCGTTTTTGGATTCGGGAGCCTGCCTGTGGCTCGCTTCCTGCTGCGAGTGCGTCCTGTGGTCGCTGGCGTTGCAGCCCGGCTCGTGCAGCTTTCTGTTCCGGACGCTGCTCTGCTTCTGGGGGAGGGACGGCTTCTCCGCCTGCCCGTTCCCGTAGGCCCCGTGGTAGTGGGCTCTGTCCAGCTCCGGCTCGGGGTGCTGCAGGTAGTAACGTTCGTCCCCCTCGGGCGTAGCTGCTTTGGCCGGGTACCTCCCCTCCTTCCCTTCCGCCACGGTGAGCAGGCCGCTTTTCCCGGGATCCGATTTGCTGCGCAAGTGAATCACATCCAGCCCTCCCAGTTCCTCCTGCAGCAGCGGGGCCACGTTGTCGTACTGGGACATCACCGGCCCTTTCACCTTCTGGCGCGTGCGGCTCTCCCGGCGAATGGACTGCATGCGGTACTTCTCCATGTCCTCCAGGTCCCACGACACGTACATGTGCTTGATGTCCGGGGCGGGAGGCACGTCTCTGCTGATGAAGCTGTGCTCCTTGCCTGCTAGGTGGCCGATGAGGCCGCCCCGGGGGTAGGCGGCCAGGCTGGGGTAGCGGTACAAGCCTTTGCTTTGCAGCCGGGAGGCGTAGGAGGCGAAGTCTCGGCTGGGCAGGGGGTGGAAAGGGCGGACCCGCACGGTGCTGTACGGGTCCAGGTCGTAAAAGCTCCCATCAGCGGCGGCGTAGTAAGAGGATGCGGAAGAGCTGGAGTAAGGACTGTAGCGGTAATGCACCCGCCCGTTCTCAAAGTAAGGCTGCAGCTGAGTTACGTGGTAGTCGGAGTGGGGCTGGTAGGGCTTGTACTGGTAGAGGGGCCGCGGGCAGTACAGGGGCTCGTCGTCCGGAGGCACCTCGGTCCGCGAGATGGGAACGGAGCGGATGGCAGAGGCGGCCGGGGCGGGGACGTGCAGCGACTGAACCCTCCGGATGGTGGGGTAGGGCGGAGCGTCCTCGGCGTAGCTGGCGCTACGCAGGCCCGTCGGGCTGACGGAGGCCACCAACTCCGGCCGGCTGCGGGGCTTGGCGTGGGGAGCCGAGGCGCCCTTCCCTTGGCTGGCGTAGGTGTTGTAGCGGGACGTGGGCGTCTCCGAGCGAGGAGGGAAGGCTGGGTGCTGGTCGGGCTTGGCGTGGTAGGAGCCGTGAGGGGGAACGCTCTCGGGCCTGTACTGGTGGATGGAGGCCGGCTTGTGGGGCAGGTAGGCGTCTGGGCCCGGGGGCTCGGGGAGGGTGTCCGGCTTGGGATGCGGCACGTACACAGACTGCAGGGAGGCGTGCTTGGGCGGGGGGGGCGGCGGGGGCGGCAGCAGGGCTTCCTCCACCGAGGAGGCCAGCATGGAGGAGGCCAGGAAGGCGTGGTAATTGGAGTTGTTGACGGTGTCCGTGTTGTTCGAGTGCAGGGCGGCAGCGATTTTGCTCTCCAGCGTTCTCACGGGGGGGACGGGGGGTGTAAAGCCGTAGGAGGAGTGCGTAGGGACGGACTCGGAGCGCAGGTGCAGCGGGGGAGCCCTCGGGGTCTCCCGAGGCTTTTCCAGAAGGCTCTGGTGGCCCGCGGGCACAGAAGAGGAGCAGCGGGTGGTGGAACTGCTCTCGGAGACAAAACCAGGCGAGGGCTCGGGTGGCTTTTCAGGCGTGGTCGCACCCCAAATCTAGAGGGAAGAAACCGGCAGCAGTTAGAGACAAGCCCCTTTCCCCCAACTAGTCTCTAGCTAAAATACCACAGGTGCTCCTATGGGTTAGTTCAATTTAAATTTTTCTGTGCCTGGTTTCTGTTTGCTGCGGAGAGCCAGTGGCTGCTCGCCGTAGGTTCCCTTTCTCGGCAGGGGCAATCTCTGGGACAGTTCAGGGCCCCCCCTGCGAATGTCAAACTAGAGGAAGAGGAGGAGGCGGCGGCCGTGTCTTTAGAGCAGCAGCTTAGAACTTTTACAGAGTTGCCCCAGTGTTTTGTAAAGGGGGTCTGCCTATAATTGGACTCGTCTTAATGAAAACGTACCGGCGGTTAAACTCCTCACACCCTGGTGAGCAGATCAAGTAGTGTAATACAGCAGAAATCCCTTCCTTAAATGTGGCTGTGGTGCTTAAGACAGGTTGCAGGCGCGCATGCTTCACGGGCAGCAGGCTGTCTGGCTTTCTGGGTGAACATTTCCAGGTCTAACTCTCAGACAAGGAATCTGACCTGCTTTATTTGTTAAAGAGGATGTTGGAAGAAGGTATTGTCAGCCTCGGTGAAGAGAGGACGCCAAAATTCTTACTTGTTTCTGAGCACTTCTAAACTAGCCCTCCCCGTGTCGGTCGCTCCAGCAGATACTTTTGGGTTTTTCCCCCCCCCCCCCATTTCAAATCAAGGAGACCAGGTATCTTGGGATGTTCACTTGGGGAATTCTGCGCTGCTCTCCTGCAAGGCTGTGTCTGTGTTATATACAAAACTTCCAGTAACCTGTGAATCTCTAGCCGCTCGGATTCAGCCCGACTTCCCCCAAGCTCAGCCTCCCTACCATCACGGCTCAGCTGCGCCAGGACGTGCGAGGCTGGGGTGGGGGGGGGCACATCCACCTACCTGGCTGGAACCATTCGGTGCTTTGGCGGAGGCGGCTGGCACTTGTCCCGTGGCTGACTGGTGATCTGCCCTCTGCGGCAGGGCGGGCTGGCCGGCCGCGAGCGGGCACGGCGCGGCGCCGTCTGCCTGAGTCGGGGCTGGAGCTGCTGTCGCCTGGACGGTGGTTAAATAGGGCACTGAGGCCGGGGTGCTTTTCTCCCCGGCGCTCACGGCGGGAGGAGAGTGCAGTTCGTCATCGGCCGCGCAGAGAGGGACGTGGTGCTTGTCCCCAGCCACGCACGCCCGGGGGTGGTGGGGCTTATCTACAGGCAAGTCTGTTGTGGGTGGCTCCCAGTCAGGCAGCGCCCCTGGAGCGTGGTGGGGCGGGTGCTCCCAGTCCCCGGCAGGGACGGGGAAGTGATCTTTGTCCCCCGGTTTACCAGGATGGAAGCTGGCCTGCTCCTGCTCTGCGTCTCCGCTATCGGGCACGTCCCCAGGCATGCCAGGGTGCAGAGGTGGGGGGTCCCGGTTTCCAGGCGCCCCGGGCGGGTGGTTCTGCTCCCCGGGCGTGCTGCTACCTTGGAAATCCTGCTCTACTGGTGCACCAGGCTGGAAGTGGAGTCGGTTCTCGGGCAGACTGGTATACAGGTGGAGCTTGTCTGGAGCACCAGCAGAGAGATGGAGCTTTTCTAGAGCTGTGCCAGCTTCAGCCTCTCCGTAATTTGTGCTTTCAGAGTGAGCATCTCCTGGCCTTTTCTGAGACTGAGCGGACGCTTGCTGTGCGGACTCGGCTAACGCTAGGGCTAGCATGCGCGCTGCGTTTTTCGGAGGAGGAGGAGGGATAAGAGACACAGAACTGACGGGAACAGGATCCTGGGGGGAGTCGAGGGCAACTGCTCCTGATGGGGGGAAAATTGAGAGAGTGAGTGATTTTACGTTACCCAGTAAGGAGAGTGACCTAACCTTAACGACTATTATAAAAAAAATAGATGCTTTCCACACTTTCACAGTGGCAATTCCTTCTGATGGGAAACACACTATCTTCTGTCTCACATGCAAACGCTGCTCAATAGCCCAGCAGTTCATCACGAAAAGGAAAAAACACAAGAGATTGTCTAAAGGCTCCTCTTGCATTTCTAGAGGTAGGAAGTAGGTAGCAGAGAACGAGATACCCTTACACAATTTTGACCATAAGGTTTTAGGCGAAAAGGTCCCTTCTTCAAGTGTTGGCAGATCTTTTAGTTTAAAAAAGAAAAGTCTTAGACGGTCTATTGGCTGAAATGATTTAGAAGGACACGCTATAGATTTTCACGCATGACAGGATGGGGGGAAAAAAAAAACAAGTGGGATACAAAGTAGTATGGAAAATTATCCGAGATTGGTGTGATGTAGGGAGAAGGCAGAGGTTAAGACCTTAGTGATCTGCACAGCCCTGCAAGACACTTGCGATCAGAACTGACGGGCAATCCCCTCTCCTAAAAGGCACGCAGAGGAGGATGGTTCTGAGAGCAGGTCCCCTTTGGAACTTAAAGAAAGAATGGAGGAAAATGCACTGTACCTGGCTGTGCGTGTCCAGTGGGTACAGTCTTATTCTGACTGCTTGACATTGGTCTCTCTCCTTCTTCTGGCAACTCTGGCTTGCCAGCAGCCACTAGCTGGGCGTGCGGTAGCTCTTGGTGGGCTCCCTCCCCTGCTCCCGTTTCACTGTTTTTCAGGGGCAAGGACATCTGGGTTGGGGACCTGTTTGCGATTTCGGCGATGCCAATCCCTTTGCTCCAGCTGGAAGCAGAGGAGTTCCTGGATGGGACGGGCACTCCCCCGAGGGCTTCTGACACGCGGCTGGGCAGGGCGAAGGGGACGGCTTCTGGCGCGGTTGGCGGCGGGGATTTGAGGGGCTTTCGCCCCCCCTTGGGTGAGAAGGCATGGGGCTTGCAGGCCTTCTCCTCCGTTGGGCTCAGGTCCATAGTAAAGAAGGGGCTCATCTTCTCTTGGTAAGGGGAGACTGGCTCAGAGCTCGTGGCACTGCCTGGTGTCTGGGACTGGCTGCCCGATTCCAAATCCTTCTTTAGTAGGCTTGGCTTCTCCTTGTTGATGCCGACTGACTCCAGCAGGGAGGTGCTGCTATCCAGGCACTCGGACTCTGCTTGGGGCGGGCTGCACTGAAAAGACATAGGGTCAAAATCCAGGCTAGCGACTCCGATGTCCGGTGGGCTCAGGTCAACGTCTTCAGCAGATCGAGGAGAAATCAGGGCAGGAACGTGGATGAGCCCCTCGTCCCCGTCGCTGTCGTCGTGGGGAAGGTTGTCGTAAGAATTGCAGCGGTTCATGTTTCCCAAGAGCTCTCCGTTGAAGGAAGCGGACAACGCATCGCTACTGGACCTGGGTCTTCTGGGTCGGAACAGCTTAGATTCACCTAGGAGGGAGCAGAGAAGCACGGGTTAGTGTTAAAATCTGTCTGTCCGGGAGGTGATAGCTGGGTGTTGTCCAGAAAGCAGTCTTAAGGCAGCGTGCAAGACGCTCAGCTGGGGAGCTCTGAACACAGAAGTGATGTCGTTAGCAGTAGCTGTTGATCACGTTTGCTCAAACTCCTTTTACAGCGGTTGTCACGTCTGATTTCGTCTGAAACTAAGCTGAGTGCAAAAGCAAAACTAGCTCAAGTGAGCTGGAGACATAAGGGTTTCTCGGGAAGCATTTTCCTTCCCCATCTTAGAACAGAATTGGGAGATGGCAAGGAACGAATGTAAGCGAGCGGTGCCAGCTGTACGAAAGCAAGAAGTTTGCCTTTTTTACCTGAGAAGGAAAACAAAAGCACGAAGAGAAGTTGTCTGTGATACCCCTACCCAGCTGCGTCGGGCAGGGGGAAGCTGCTTCATTATTAGCAAGCACAGCTTTTACTGGGGGGGGTAGAAAACCTGCCCTGTCAAACATCTGCAGTCAGTGATGTCCAACCGCCTTTGTTAATCCACACGCGTTAAAAGCCCAGGCACAATTTTGTCTTACCATCGACAGCGTGCAGAGAGGTAAGCGATTCTTCACTCTTAGCTGAGCGAAGAGTCCCGCTGTCTCCTCGTCCCCCTGAGGAAATGCAACCGGGACAGTGAAAAGTTGAACTGGAAAAGCGTTTGCAACGTAACGGTGGCAGGAAAAACACAACGTAGGTTTCCAGCAACAGTACCGCTCTCCCGAGAGTAACCGTTGTGGGTTTGGGTTGGTTTAGTTTTGGCTTTTTACTCCAAAGTCCTTAAAGAAAACCTTTATCCCTTTCCCCCGTGACTATGCTTTGCTCTCTAAGGAAGATATGATCCTGTTTTGCAGAGGAGACTGCCCTACAGCGGCCCCTGTCAACCCACGATTCTGTACTATCGGGCAAGAAGCGTTTACGAGGGCGTGAACTGATTTTTTTTGATACTCATTTTACAGACTGGGGAAAGGGAAATTACTGAAATGGTAACTAACTGCTGCAAGATGCCAGGTTGGGAAACAACTCCTCACATCAACCCGCTACAGACTCTGTCAGGATGTGCCTGCGATAACTGGTTCGCTCCTGCCAGCAAACAAAGCCCCTCAAAAATGGGCAAGGAAGTAATATTTGCACAACTCGTTTTACGAGTACTAAACAAGTCTGACTTCGGTGCTCCAAGGAGACAGTCTTAAAGCACATTCATACAATGTGTTTATTATACCGAGGAGGACTATGAGGGTTATAATTTGAAAATGGCACCGGGGAGAAAATGGGATGAAAGTCCTCACTGGCTGGCCCACGTTTAGGGATTTGTGGCACGTTTTCCCGCAAAAACGCATTGTTGCTATTTGTAATTTGGAAAGAAACAGTGAACTATACACAGAAAGGGCTGAGAATTCATCTACGTACGTTGGATGTGGCTACCAAAAGGTTGCTGGATGCCTCCTAGTTACCGTGGTATCGTTTTCAGGGTGAAGGTGCTTGTGAACAAGTGCCTTTACCTTTTCAATTGTGTGCCTTTTGAGAGCAGCAAAGGGAGCCAGAACCGTATTCTTATTTCACAGTAAGCGTGTCAGAAGGAATTATTCTGCGACTTATTATAGCAGTGCCCACATCTTGCCTTTCAAAAGCTACTCTGAGAAAAACGTTAGAGGTGTGGGCTCTAGCAGGTTCGGCTCCCGAGCTAATGTGAAATTTAGGAAAGGCTGCCGTTAACCGAAGGTGTTATGAGCGGCTTGCACGCTAGGAGGAGATAAAAGCACACTGTAAACAGGAATTCTGCATTGCCACCCCCCCCAGTTTATCTGAAAGCTGGATTTTTGCACCCTTACCTGCCAGGGCTATGGCTTTCATTTCTGAGGGCTCACTGGGATTGCGCTGGAGTTTGCGCTTGGACACGGACGATGATTTGCCCAGGTTGAAGAAGGACCGCCAACTGCCAACTGGCGATTTCTTCATCTTGCTGGGTGGCCTTTTTCTGGCGTGAGAAAACAGAGCAAATTGTTAGAAGGGGAAAGCTGCATTTAGTTCCTGTTCCTGGTTTTTTAGCGCTACCTGGTTTCTGCTGAAACAGAGCTTAGAAACTTGGTCTCTTTTAACGAGCTGAGGATGTTTTAATTCTTATAGCTCAGTCTTAAAGTCTTGCTGGGTAGATTCCACCAAACCATGCAAAGCGGGTGCAATGCAGGTGAGCAAAGGCTCCGTACTTGTACAGTACAGCAGCCGAGGGACTGGCTTTAATTTAGCTAGCAGATGCAGCAGTTCTCTGAGGAACTGTGCAGCCATAAAAGGTATTCAAAAGCATCCCTCGCTCATGCTGTAAAATCACATTCGCCTCCTCCCACTGCCACATGTAATTTCTAGTGTCATCGAGTCTGTTCGACTGTTCCGCTTCGAGGGGAACCTGCATTTGTTACAGGCAGTTAGTCCTGAAATCTGGAAAACCCCAATGTTTCCAGGTGTTCACCCTGTTTACATTTCTGCGCGCCTGACTAGCGCAGGCACCTAGATGTGTCCCATACAACACGGCTTCGTACATTTAATGATAGCCCTGCTGAAAAGAAGGGAGTGGCACAGAAGTTCGATGGCTAAACTGAGTCTACGGGACAGCAGATGTAAGCAGAATCCTCACAGAGTTCAAAGCAGGTGGAAAACTGGCTACACCACTTTACGTATGACTACTGTAAGAAAGCATCGGCAAATTTTTGCTGTAATCAAAAAAAAAAAAAAAAACCCAAACCCAGTTATGACACATGCTGGAAAGGAAACTCGTCTCTACCTTTCGGATGGAAAGTCTATAACCGTGTGGAATTTCCCCTGTAAAGCTGCAGGGCCTTCTCCCACTTCTATGTATTTGCTGTCTGCCACGATGGGAGAGTTGATCTGCGCTTGTGTCCGTGCCTGCGCTTCCTCCAGCGTGAGCAGCTTTGTGGAAGGAGAGGACACCAACAGGGACTTGGGCCGTGATAAAGAACTGTGCCCTGGAAGGGATAAACCACAGGGAGAATCAGAAACCAGCGGTAGGGAGATCAAAGCTCTGGGTGTCTAGGGAGGTGCTGTGTTTTCCTAAATCTTTGTTATCCCAGCCGCTGAAAGATGTGGTCAAAATAACCATTTTGTCAGAGGTATGACAAAAAAAAAAAAAAAAAAAAAATTCTCAATTATGAGAGCAGCTTAGTGTATTTTAAAAAAGGCAAAGGGCAGCAGGTAGGTTAAAAACCTTCACTGACATGCTTCAGCTTCATCTGTATGCAAAAGTGTAAAGAAAAGCGATGTTTTTTTTTCTTAGAAGGCTCGGCTTCAGTCGGGCCCAGGTCCCACCGCTCAGGGCAGCAGGAAATGCCGAGTGTGGCTGAGGGGGCCACAAACTCGCGTGCAGATGGACGTAGGAAAGAGAACCTAGCTGTGTGTCTTGCCCTCGGCCTTTCTACGGCTTGTGCTCGGTTTTGGAGACAAACACGTACGTTTTTGCAGAAGCAGCTGACGTTGCCTGCTGCTGCCGGGATCTGTCAGGTCAGCTTGCGGGGTAGAGGAGCACAAGGAGCAGCTGTCTTTTGTGCACCATCGCTTACTGTGTGAGTATTTACACGGTTAATTCACCTGAGTTAAAGGGGGGGCGGGGGCAAGTGTGTCACCACATCAACGTCCTGGTTGGTTCCATCCATCCTTCCAGCATCACAGCTCTGGTGTAAAGCGTGCACAGTCTGGGGTGTCAGCTGTAAATGCCATCCCGGGTGAAGTTTGGGTTCCAGCTGCCTTGGCAACAGCCTTCCCTAGAACGGCTTAAAGCAGGCTTGGGAATATCCTCCCTTCCAGCTCTCAGGGGCAGGTACAGGCAAGAAGCCGTGCTCGAAAACGGAGGCTCTTGGAAGCGCCGAAGCGGATGCCGCCCCGTCGTCGCCCAGGACTCCTGCGCTTCGCTGATACGCCGTGAAACGGCCTGACCCTTCTCCCTGCCAGTTTTGTGTCAAAGCACGCTGAATGCGAATGACCAAGTCATTAAACAATTAGCCGAATTTACACGGTCCATTCTAAGCCTGGATAATCGTTTGGCTCAGACCCTTAGCATGTTTATCTTTCCCTGGCAGAGCTCAGCCTGCTGCGGGCCGTTCCTGTTCGGCCAAGCTAACCTCTGGCTCCCGTTGACTTAAAATTGCCTTCCAGTAGGAACAAAAGCTGGACTCGGAGCAACTCTGCTATCCTAAGGAGGGCTAGGGGTTTGTTTAAAAGCAAGGAGCAGCAAATATACGGGTAAAACGGTTATCTGTGCTCCAGAGGTGGTGGTAACTGCACTGACTGGGCACGTGTCCCAGGAAGGGCAGGTTAGCAAAGCACACGGTACACAAAAAGCCCCGCTCAGGAGTAATAACAGCCTGTGGGATCCACGTTTGTTGATCTTAACACACAGAGTAAACTTTCTTCCTGGTGCAACTCTGTTCTTTCCAATGGATCAAGTATACTGAGGGTCTTAGCAGTTACTCCAGGGACATCTGTAGGTTCTGAGGCTGAATGACGTTTCAAGCACTCCAGGGTTGGCCCAAGGGTGCTGCAGGTTCTTCCTCAGCCCGAAGCCAAAAACTGACACCAGGAGCAGAGACCTGGGCAACAGCTGCAGGGCCAGTGCAGGCTGAGCCACGCGGCTGGGCGGCCCTGCTCATTCACCCACCCAGCCTACGTGGAAGAAATAATTGAGATAGCAGGTGTCTAAATATTCCCTGCTAAGAGGCAGACTAAGTTTTTTAGTGTCTACGTGACTGAGGACAGAGAGTTTTCTTTAAATCGGTTCATTTCTATTTATGTTCTAAGGTGCTGATAAGGGTAGACAGAGCGTGCATTGTGTGGTGCTGTGAGACAGCTCAAAAGCACGTGCAGGAGCACTGGTGATGACGGGTTTAAAAAGAAGGGGAGGGAGCAGGAGGGACAAAGATTTCAAAGAGCTTCCTTACAGTTTCTCAGCGCTAGGATGTAAAAGCAGCAGGCAAATGTTGAGATGTGCACTTCTGCAGAGCATCCTTGGCTTCTAGGAAAGGTACTGATGACAATTTCTAAAACCAGGCTCTATTTGTCACGTTCTGACATCGTAACCCTGGAAATCTGTCCTCTAGGTTATAGTAAAACCATATTTCAAATGTCCCAGGAGAGGCTCAGATACCCATGAAGTGCCTGCTACCTTTTCTGATCAAGGTAAAGCGGAGGAAGACGCTCACCTGCTCCATCTCGTATGACTGAGCTGAGTTTGGAACTGAAGAGGACGTCCACGTGGTTCAAGATGAATTCCACAACTACCGACTGGATTCGCACCTCCATGAAGGCAGCTGTTCCACTGAAGCAGGCAGACTCGATCTGCTTTGATCTGAAGAAAAGGCAGAGTAAATGAAAGGCGGACAGGCAGAAGAACAGGGGAAGATGCGCTCCCTTTGGGTAAGGCTTTGGCAAGTGTCGAGCTATTGTGCCTGGTTGCTCAGGCAGACGAGACTTTAGGGGCAGTTAAGAGATTAAATCTCATCAAAGCATTACACAAATGACCGTACTGACTAGTGATTTTATAGCCAGATTTTGGGTTTGGGCTCGAGTCTTGCTGAAGTGACAGGAGGAACACTGGGGCTCGAAGGACAAGGAGTGCGCGGCAGGTCCGGACCGAGGTACTGCATACCCAAAACGGGGAGCTTTCTGTTAATTTATTTCCAGCTACTCTGGATGGCAGCAGTTTAATGCAGTGGCATTGTACAAAGCTCACCGCGGCCTTCTAATGTGATTTCTCCCTCTAGCACGGAATGTCTCCAACTGATCCTGCTCAGCAAGTACCCCAATATTCACAAAAGCAAACTCAAACAAGAGATCATTTGACTGCTTGCGGGTGAATTGCCAGAAAGGAGAAAAGAGCTTACCCTCATTAACTGCACACAGGGGAATCTATGACTCGGATTTCTCAGGTTGGTAACAAAAGCAGTTCAGAAATCAATCCAATAGAGGCCAGGTCATTTTTTTTTTTTTATTTAAAGCAAAAATTTTAAATTACACCATTAATTTTAAACTACCCTATATGCACATTTCAAACAAATTTTAGGGGACTGATTTATCCAAGATAATTTCCATAAGTTTGAATTTTTGCAGCCAAAAGCTGTCCAATTAGACTCTAGAGACTTATGCAATGGGAAATCAGCGATGCCACTGAATAAATTTTCTGGGATGATTGAGGACACACTAGTCTCGTCTAACTAGGAGAGGGGAAATTATCCTCTAGAAAAGAGAGTGGGGGGAATGCTTCCTCGCCACTACTGAACTGCAGGCAGTGGAATTGCACTGCGGTGAGACGGAATAATTCTGGGGTGTTCCCTCCACTGACAACAGCGGGGGCTATTTTATGGCACTGGCTCAGGAGCTCGCCAGCTGGTCTCAAGCCCCTGCTTGGAATAAAAAAAAATCCTGTTACAAATTTTCTATGAGGAGAAGAGGACATTGGATGGAAGAAAGGAAGATCTCTCTCTCACCTGCTGAAAGTTGCGATTTTCTGGAGAATAGGTATCTGGTTTTTATAAATATAAAAACTTATCTTGTATTGAAATAGGGAAGGAGAAGAATACCTTAAGAGGTTTGGAGCCCAGACGATTGCTAAGTTCTTAGTGTGCATATTTGTGATGGAGCAGTAATCAGCCAGACGAGCTAAGTGTCTCATTAGGAACTCCAGTGTCCTGGAAAACAGGAGACAGGCAAACGTTCAGCACCGATGAGCAGAGCCATGCTGCAGTTTACAAAACAAACCCCAGTTCATTAGTTTCTTTTTGTTTGACAGCTCACAGAAAAAAAAAAAAATGTTGAACCATGTACCCTAAGAGTGACGGTAAAGTTGCCTTTAGCAAATAATTATATGGGGGGGGTGGGTGGGCTAAGGGCAGCCTCTCCTGATTTGTCCAGGCTCAGCAAAAAGATGGTTAAAGGGTTTGCTCTCAGCCCGAGGGCTGGATCCAGCAAACACGGAGAATAATCTCAAGGCCACGAGCACAGCAGGCTCTAGGAGCTGAGCGCCCTGGAACTCCATCACCCGGCTGCTTCACGGTGCGGCAGGAACGCTCCCCCCGCACCGTGCGTGACAGCAGGGCGGGGGGGAAGGCTGGGGAATGTTAATCCTGGTGAGGGGGGCAGCTGTTATTTAGGCACCCCGGGATGTTAAAAAACAACCAATTATATCCAAGTTCTACCTATTAAATCACTGGCTACAGGTTTCTTGTACAGCAGACGACTAGGGTTAAACTCCAGAGGCTTCTGTTCACATAAAAAAAAGTAAGTTTTGTTTCTTTATATTAAGCACTACTGCTAACACGCATGAGGAAGAGGAAGCACAAGGTGGTCGTGGAAATGCTGATGTGTCTTCCTCGGAGCTGTTGCTGGCAGCAGCCCTGGCTTCGGTCTGTCTTACTGCATTGGATTTTATTTTTCCGGGGGTGGGCAAGAGGATGGGGGGGCTGTGTGGCTCCAAATTCCACAAATGGACAAGGCCCCGAGTGAAGAGGGATGTTTCTGGCTGGAAACAAAACGGACCCCTCTCCAGCACCCTGCAGAGCCCTGCTGCAGCTCATGCTGCCAAAGGCCCAGTACCCGCGTGGAACACTGCAGAGTAGCAGGAAAAATAAAAGTGTGGGTTTGATTTTTATCAAGCAAACCTCAGGAAAGGAGGGAGAGCAGCAGCCCTGTCCCCCTACAGCATTTTGCATCCAGGTGTCTCCCACACCCCCGCTCTGGTCTAAGACTAAGACCCACAGAGGCAGCACGATCGCCAAGTTAAACAAGTTTCTTCGCCCCATAAAATAAAGAGTCATTTTAGGGAAAAGGTGGAACGCACCCGAGAAAATTAGATGGAGATGTATGGCAAGTAGTCTTGATCAATTATGTATTGTAATTGGTGTAAATAGCTAATTACAAGGTAGGTACCATTCATCATTACAACGATTAGTTATTAATACTATTTAAAGACTCATTAACATACAGTATAGTTAGTTATTAATACCAATCACCAAATTGTCCAATGCCTTTTTACCATACCCTGCCATCATTTTTAATACTAAAAGATCATTAACATGTTGTTATACTTAGTCAAATCTCATTACCATGTAAGTTATTAATACTAATTAGTTTGAATATATTATTATAATTAACTGGTGATTTTTAAACACGAGCTTATAATTATTTATTCTACTGGAGCAGCATTGTAATTTGGTAGTTACTACTATTGCGGGGGGGGGGGGGGTGTGGGGGGCACACGGCATGTGGAATTGGAGACAAAATCCACCTCACTGAATTAAACTGCAGGCCCGAACCAATTTTTTGGCTACGTTTCCCTTTCTTCCATGGTGATTCCTAGAGCTGGTATTGTGTCCCCCCCAGCTCCACCCTCAGTAAAACTATTTCCTCAGCGCTATCAGCTGCTTCTGCCACAGCACGCTTGTACGGGCCTCCCAGATGTAGTTTCCAAGGAAGTCACGTAAGACTATGCAAAGTATGTAGTGTTTGGTAAGGAGCTAACTGAAATATAAATCAACTTTATGTAGCCGTAAACCATTTTAGTATACAGAGGAATAGAGCAGCTATTGTGAGAGGGGAGGCTGGAATTGTATCATTTCACTCCTGAAACGGTAGCGACGCTAAAAGGCCGAGCTCTAACCCGCGTGAAGGCTGCACTAACCTGTAGTGAGGAGGGGGCAGCTGCTGGATGACATCGTGGATTTTCACCAACCGTTCTTCATCCGTAGCAGCAGAAACAGCGTCCTGGAAGGCGGCAGGAAGGGATTGAGCTGTGAAGAAACCTAGATACCCGCCCCAGCATCCTCAACCACGCGGCCAGTGGGCCGTTCGTCAGTAGTGAGGCGCAGCGTGAGGCTTTTCTCTACCTCCAGAGAGGCGTCTGTCTCGTGGGGACAGACCGACACACGGATAATGCGAGCGAGGCCAAGTAAATCAAATCCGGGCTGCTTTATAGCTTAACTGTGCAGAGCAATTGCTTGCAGAGGGCACCGAGCTCCGAGCAGCCTTTGCTTCCACTCCCACTGCTGTTTGAGAAATCTCTGGGGAAGGGCAAACGCTAGGGGAAATCTTCAAAGCATCGTTAGCGAGTGTCCCAATAACCTACCGAGGCCCCCAAAGGGGAATCAATCAATCTGGTAGGGCGTAAGGGACGAAGGCAGACAGGACTAAACCTGAAGGGGAAACAGAAAAGGGACCTCGGGCCCGGGGCACCGCCGCGCTTCTGAAATGGCAGGATGCTGACAGCAGTGGGAGTCTGGTGTGCAGGCAGCACAAGCCACGCCGGTGTCGGGCTGGTAATTTTGGAGCTGAGCGCTTCTGATCTCTCCAAAAACCCCAACGCAAGCACAAGACAGACAAAGAAAGGCGTGTGGAAGACGGGTTCAGCTTGCTGCTGGATCCTTTTCAATATTTCTCTGTTCAACCTGTCCAGATGAAGTCACGCTGAGGTGGAAGGCGAAAGGCACGGCCTTGTACTTACTGAGAACTTCTCGTAGAGTTGGTAGGTCAGCAGAGGGTTGGGGAGTTCGCGGAAGTACAGTTTGCAGAGGGAGCCCACGCAGTGAATATCCTGGATGTAAATGTCCTTTGTCAAGTCAGGAATCTGCTCCGAGTCAAACTCGTGGCTGGAAAGGAGAACAGAAAATTGGGCAAAGGGGTACGAAAAGGAGGAATGAAAATAAAACCCAGCGCAAATTACAGTCAAGAAAAGCAAGGGTTTCCTGATTTATAGGAAAAAAATAAATACTTAAGTCAGTCACCAAAGCCACATGCCCCATGGTTGTGGTGTTGATAGAGTGGATTCTTCCAAAAATGGGACTTTTCTTTTTTCTAATAAGGCTTTTTCAGTTGGTCTTACAACTGATGGGCTAGTCTGCAATCCCTTCTGCTGCAGCAGGGCTTTTCACAAAGGCTCCAGAGAATCTTCCAAGACCTCAGAGACAATCTGAATATTTAATGCCCACGGGCCGCGACTGGGAGCTGCCGGGAGGAGTGCCCACAGGTCTGAACGAAAGCTGCTACCCTTTGCTTTTCAAAGGCCTCGAAATCGAAATGATAAAGCAACGGAGAAGAGCAGCGCCAGCGGCAGCTGCTGCACACGGAAACCAGTGTGTGCAAAAATTCCTTGAGGACAGGCTGGTGAGCTGAGCACGCCTCTGCCACAGGGTGAACAGAGCCAGGAACCACATGAAGAATATCCCCGAGCCTTCCCCTTGGGTTTCAGAGGGAGAAAAAAACCAAAATCACAAACAGTAATGAAAGAAAAACTGTGCTTAGAAGGCCAAGGGCTGGCTTGCTGCTATGATATGTGCATGGAAAGCGCTGTTTCAAATTAGCAGGACGGTTTTGCAGGGACGAGCAGGGTGAGTCAGGCCCCAGGGAGCCGCGAGAACAGGGCTGCTCTAGCTGAGGCTCCGTTTCTCTACAAGGGTTTTTAAGCTGTAAACCGACACGGGGAGTCATCCCGTCTGCACTACAACCGCAGCAGCGCTGGGGGCTCGGCGGCAACATCGCCGGCTTCTCCCCCGGCCCAGGCCAGGTGATGTAACACAGAGGAGAAACCATGCCTTCAGCAGAGCTCAAACGCTGAGCTTGCCTCTCTCTCTCTACAGGACAGAACCAGTTTGTACCCTTGTCCAAGGCACCCCGCGTGTTTCTAACTGCAGCGGTCAACCCTGTGTCCCGTACGAGACCAGAAAGGTGCTCCCTCCTTCCCCCAGACACGAAGGCTGCGTGAGGGACGCCAGACTGGGGGCAGAAGAGGCCTCGGCTTCTTCAGACCAGAGGGTGAACGCTCCACCCCCGTCCTTCATCCCAAAGGTGGCACAGAAGGAAATAAAGGTTTGTGTTTTCCCCAGCCAATGGATTGCCGGTAACCAGAGTCCTCAGCCCACACCGCTCCCACAGGCACGTGCGGGCTCATCGCGTACTCCCATCTGGGAGAGAAACTTATTTCCCCACTTGGCTCCACGGAAAAAGACAGAGCTCAGGAGGGGGACCCGGGAAAGACACCAACCCACCCCCTGCAAATGCACTCAACCTTGGCTGAAATTCTCTGGCCGTATCCTGCCCCACGCCAGTACTCCCGGTGCTGCAGTATCTAAATAAAAATATGGAGTGAAGAAAGGGAAGTCCAGGTACATTCAGCCTTACTTCTCTCTGTGCTGGCTGCTGCGAGAACTACACGTTCCTTCTTCTGATGCCAAAGGAAGGCTGTGTTAGCAGAAGAACCCAACTTCACGGTCTCCCCAAAAAAGCCAGAACACAGGGATACGCACACCAACTCCACACTCGCTCTGCTCTGCCCACCAGCCGAACGACGGCAGCTACTGCACTGCTGAGGAGCCAACCTCTGGCCTGGAGTAAATCTCTCACGTGGAATAAATTCTCTAACTTTCTTCCTCAACCAAAAAGCCCTTTAAATCTGGGAGATCCAAATCTTCTATGTGAAACTTAAGAACAGTGACTCATTCACAAGGACACTGCAGCCCGAGCTTTGAAATAAGCCTAACGATCTGTTTATATAGCTGGGAACTACAGCAATGCAACGTGTCCTACGTTCATCAAACATGCAAATCTGTAGCGATTTAGATGAACATTAGGGACAACATCCACAAGTGATGACATGTACGCCTTTCCTTTTGTCTCTGGGACATCTCAGGAAATTGAAAAATAGGCTGTCGCTTCGTTCTCTGTACTATACCAGGGAATTCTGCCATTAAAGTTTTAGAAAATAATTTTTAAAGCACCTTTGGAAAACAGCGAGAAAACGGTCCTGGCAACACAAAGGGAAAAAAATCGCCTAGGGCAGAGATCAGAAAGATGGTTCAGCACAAGTCAAAATGGAGAATTAAAGGGGATGTGAGCGAAGCAAGGGCAAACGTTTTATTCAGCCGAGACTGCTCTGGGCAACAGCTACAATCAAAGTCTTTGGAGCCTGCATATCAAAGCCTCGGGAGCAGATTTTTAAAATGGAACTTGCTGTGAAGAGAAACAGGATTAAGCAGAACCAGAATAAGCCCATCCATATGAGGGTTTGTACAGTAACTGTACCGGCTTAAACCTGTCCACTGAACTCGGGAATAGCCGGTACAAAAAGGATATCCTTCATCTGGAAAATACCCCTTTGCTGCCTCTGCGAGGCCGTGGGCCCAGGATCAACACTGGAATTAGTCACATCCCACTAGGTTCCCTCGGTCCCTTCACAACAGAAAAATGCATACCAAACGACGGGAGGAAAACCAGCCTCACAGAAGGGTAAAGCCCATTTTGTGCGATGAGAACAGCTCCCAGCCGGGGAGGACACACACCCAGCCTTCCCCCGCACAGCACGGCAATGCCACCCACCGACAATGCTGAGAGTATTCTTTGCCCGTTGCCAATTAATCGCTGATACGCCAGGAGTCCCAAGCAGCAAGGAGAAATCTCAGCTGCTCAAAAGGGCTCCGGGGGCAGGAGGAAACAGGAACGAAGTGTGACAGCACAGTGACACCACGATCCCGGAGCCTCCCGATACTCCATCCCGAAGGAAAACCGTCCTGCCCAGGGAATTCTACCAAACAAGCCTCTGTGCCTCCAAAACCGGTGGCAAACCCAGCCTAGACCCCCCCTCGAGCACAGGTCGTGCCCCCGCACCGGGGCTGCTGGAAGAGGCTGCCCCAGGGCAGGCCTGGAACCTCGCGAGTGGCTCGCTCGCCCCGTGCCAAAGGGTTCGTCACAGCCAGCGCCCTTACCGGAGTTTCTGGATGTTGGACGCAATCCCAGACAGACGGTAGATGCCATCCACAATGCCATGTTTCTCAATGAATTCCGTGCAGCTCTTGAGGACCTGGGGGACTAAAGAACAAGCGTTGCTGGTTAGTCGAGCACGTTATTGTAGTCCTAGTTCAGGTTGTGGTCTTGTCAGATGCCATCAAGTAAGCCCAGCTGGACTACTGCTCTAGTTCTTCCTTAGAGGAGAAAGCCTGTAAGAAATTTAACTTTAGGAGTCGGTGTGGAACACTGGCCAGAAGTGTTCTTTGCTTTAAAGAGATGCCAGGATATGAATCAGGTTGAAAAAAGTCGATTTCTGGACAGTGCAGGTCCCATCACAACTCCCACAAGAACTGTGGTGTTAAATTCCATTCCAGAGGAGCTATAAAATTGAGTAAATACACTCTCTTCGGCCAAAGACTTCCTTTGTTTTCAAATCTATATAGGATTAACCTATACCGCTTGGTTTAAGCAAATATAAACATTGAGGAGACGCTATTTTTTGCACCAGGGCCAAGAGAGTTTTGACAACTGCCAATTTCATTCCCAATGTCTACCAGAACATGACTGAATTTAGATAGCTCCACAACATACTGTGCTCACAGCAACTGCAGACAGTCCGGGGTATGACAGAATGGAAGAAATAACCCCAGAGGATATAATTAGGTGTCAAGTTAATATTCAAGCTGCTTCACCAACCCGTTCCTTCCAGCTGACTTCCCAGCCCCACGCAGCATCCACTGCCGGAGCTGTCTGCCCGTCCTTGCAAGCTTAAGGAGGAGCTAATTGCTTTATTTAGAAAAGGGAGATACAACTGCCTTGAACACAGAAAGAAAATAAGGATTGAGCTCTTGTGACCATCAGCAAATCTTCACGGAAAAAGCTCAGATCCTTGGGGATTCCTCTGCGAGCCACCTTTTCGCTACAGCTCCTCTGATGATCTAGATTTATTCTTACGTTAGATGCCGGGTCTGATCAGTTTGCCACGTGACACAGATCCTGAATAGGTCCTGTAGCAAATCCCCTTACATTAAGCAGCAAATACCATCTGCCAGTCAGTTCTCCGCAGTGCTGCTGAACTGAGATGCTCTGTGCTTTCCCTTCCTCAGCTGCTTCACTGCTTTTTCGCCCCAGCTTGCAGCAAACACGCAGCCAGAGAAAAGCCTCGTTTTAAATAATTCCCTGGCAACCAGCAGGCACAGCCTGGGCTGAGGGCGCAGCTGCTCTGCACTGGAGCACAGGACAGAACAGAACCTGTAAATCTGTGCGGCACGGCTCGGCGAGAGCAGGTTGGGCCCCGGACCTGCGATATCCAACGACACCAGGAGCCAGTCAAACTTCTATATTACACTACCAGGCGTTTACAGCATCTCACATTGTTTTCCTTGTACACAGAAAGAGCCTTTAAAACCAAGCGCTGCCTTTCTGGGGGGAGGAAAGCCAGGAGAGGTGATCGCCTTTCTCCTCTCCCCAGTAGGCCCGATGGAAATTTCAACTTCTGCTGGCGCAGCCAGAAGACGCTGGGAGGGAAACCTCAGCCACCGCTCCGAAGCTAAAGGTCCCGCTCGCAGTAGCACCACAGTTGTTGGCATTAGGGGTCAACCTGACCCACCTTTGGGCACCTGAGCCGGGATAAGCAACACCAACTCACCGCTGAGCGAATACACGTGGGGAAAGGACGTTGGTAAGGTGCGTGTCCGTCACCCGCAACGCCGTAAGGCACGTGTCTGAGAATGGAGCAGGTGGAACAGAAGGCCCTAAAATCTAATATAATTTCAAAAAACGTTTTTGGAGGACAACACTTACCAGCATTTACCCAAAAAGATTCAGCACCTCTTGAAGAAGAAAGTTTCTAAGGCTTCAAGTGGACGGCGAAGGAGTTATAGGATGCTTCAGCAGTTGCCAAAAAGGGCTAAAATCTGGTTTTGCATTGCTCTACAGCGTTAAGATTCCAGTGTGACCCAGGTACAAATCCGTGGGGAAAAGCAGAGAGGTGAGAACAGCACCATCCGCTGCAGCGAAGGCGAAGGGCAAGGTTTTAGATGCTGACACAGTTAGCGGCATCTTTTCTTCTGTGAGGAAAGAAAGCACCCTAGATTGCAAGGCACGCTAGACTCACGCTCGTTTTGGTTTCACTGAGAACCAAGCAAGAGCATGCGAGATGTCGACACGTGTGTCTGTCCCCACCACCACCCGTTAGAAACGGTGAGAGGTCACAAATCTCACGAGTGAACTGAGCGAGGGGCTCAGCCCCCGCCCTGCATCATTTCCTTCTGCCAACTGCCCGGCTACGAGAGCCGCAAAGGATTGGGTCAAGGAGTTTGCCCAAGTTTTCAAGTGTTGTGGCAAGATCTGCTAATGCTTAACTGCAAAATCCCAAAGACTGTAACGGCCCAATACTGGCATCTCAGTAGGGGTCCCCCGGAAATTAGTAGGGCCTGTTGAAATATATAAATAAGCAAATAAATAAACAGCACGTTCCCTGCCTGCTTAATTCCTGCCGGGGAGGCTGACACCGCGACGCATACGCAGCGTGGGGAGCCAGCGCAGAGAGCTGCTCACCTCCACACCACCAGCCCGGCCAGGACCCCCGCCCACGCTTCCTACCCGCAGGGCCGAGCCCCAGGGAGCGAGCTCCGCACGTTTCCCAAGGCCTGGCCCTCCTGGGGTTCACCCACCCGCGCAGACAAACAGGCACGGCGAGGATGGTGCTTCTGCACCGCTCCAGCGGAGCAGCGACCCGTTGTGCCAACGTGAATCGGGTCAAGGGAGAACAGGGGGGAAGGCGGGGGGGATGCGGCACCAACAGCACGCTTCCTAACGTGCCTTTTTGTCATGGAAGATCCTGGGCACAGTTAGAATCATTAATATAGACTGAAAAAAAATTCCAGCAGGCTTGTTCTATGCGTTTCCTAATCTGGTTACCAGGACGATCTGTTCTTTAAGCTAAATATATCGTGCCAGCACCACAGATATTTTGGGGGAATTCTGCATGGTTGGAGAAGTGACTGAAATTCAAGCAGGACTATAATTATATTTGAGGGCCCTTTGCCGGAGTGGTGACTTGATTTTTCTGATTCTTGAACAAAGATGACACCTGACAGTTACACGTGTGTTTAACCTCCCTCTGCCCTTTGAATCCCAAGCCCTTCAGCTAAATACACATTTACACGGATGTATATATACACATACAGGGGGAACAATGTCTGTTACCACCAGAATGAAATGGCAGGATGAGAGCACAAGCTGACACTTAATTTTGCAAATGTGAAGTCTGCCAAGGCGACCACCACCTACGGTGGCTTCTGACATCACGTCGTGACTTTTTCCGATACCCAATCTACTGCACAAATCCCTCCCCCTGCTGCAGAGGTGAACTTCTCACCATTCAGGTCCTGACTTCGGCTTCTAGATCCCAAACTAATTACCAGATTTGCATCAGAAAGGTATCTCAGCTGCATCACAGCGGGAAACCGATGGAGGTTCCTTCTCACAGGACGCAGCAGCACCTACACTAAAATTCTATCAACTCTAGTTAATTACTGTGGTTTCCTGCAATTATAACAACCAGACTTGATGACGCAGGTGGTTTGTATTAAAAGCCATAAAGGTCCACCGAGCTCAGCACCCGGTTCCTGACAACTCCACGAGCGAGCCCCTCCGGGAAAGACGCAAGGAGGGAAGAAGCACAAGGGTTATTCCTTCAGCCCCAACAAGCCGCTGCTCAGGAAACCTCTCAACCAGCATCTGTGTTTTTTAAACCCAACACACAGCCCTTCCCAGTTCCATGTTCCCAGGCAAGCAAAAAGGAGTGCACCCGTACTCACTGTTTGGTTTTATTCCTTTCCTTCAACCACCGACTCTAGATAATCTCCCCGCAGTGAAGGCACCGACGCAGCTGCAGCCTGCTAAAATCCCCTGGCAGGTGCTACATTTGAACTCCCACCTCTTCGTGAGAATCTGAGGGCTGTACACGTCTCCCGTTCAAAAATCAGTCCCCGTCCCTCATTCCCTCCTTCCCTTCGCTGCCTCAAACGACAGGTAGTTCAAGGGAACAAAATGCAAAAGGCTGGAAGCGTCGACGCATCAGCAAAAGGATATTTTATCACCACAGCAGCTAAAGGAATTTATTCAACTCATTCCTGAGCATCTCTCAGCTGGTTTGAAAGGTTTATTGCATCTCCGAGGGCTCGTTAACCAGTTAATTCTTTGCCATTAAGAGCAAGCAGAAGTTTTATGGTTTTCACTCTGAACAACATTTTGATTCATCTTGAAATCAGGCACATTTCCTTTCCTAGCATCCTGGGTTTATTTTTTTCCTTTCTAATCTTTTGTAATGTTCCCTCCCTGGGTTTTGAGAGGCTTGCTTTCTTTTCTTTTATTTATTTATTTATTTATTTATTTATTTTATTTTTTCTTAGTACGTTACTGGAATCAGAACTATTTGTTCAGCCTGGGGAAGGAGGCCTCCCATCAAGCTCCCCTCTAGCAGCGTCGTTTGCACAATATTACAGCAATAAGGTGAAGTGCTGCACAAGCCAGGCCTTTTGGCTGGTTAATGGGCCACAGCGCCCTGAAACGCAGCTGCTCAGCTGAATTCCACACCTAGCAAATCAATGAGGAAAGCTAAACCTGCAGCCCAGCAGGAAGGAGAAAAATGAAATAAACTGTCCTGGGCGCCACTTTGAACGGCCTAAGCAAAGGTGATCGAGTACGTGCAATGCTACCTTGGAAGGATATGGAAAAACCAGAACTGAGTGAGGGATTAAGGCTAAGGGCTACGTTTTTGAGCCACGAAAATATAAATTGAAGCAATCAGCCAGAAGAGAAAAGTTTAGGTGGAGGCAGCTCACTCTTAACTGTCCAGGCTGCAAGGAAGGAAGGGCGCCGGCAGAGGATGAAGCAGCCCCGAGAGCACCCAGGACCATACAGAAGGTGGGGGCTGCGTGTGGCCGTGCCCTTTCCTTGAGGTTTTGTGACTAGCTGGGACTCTGACAACTTCCAGACATCTGAAATCAGCCAACTAAGTCCCGTCTCCCTTGCCATATTAACGCGTGGTTACGTAAAAACCTAACAATGAATGG